TCACACAGACATAGTAGCAGAACTCATTTATATTATAAAGACTTGTAGTTTAATTTATTCGAAAATTCAATAAATATCTTTAAGAGGTATAAACTTTTATCAAGATGTGTTAAATATTACTGTTATGCCCGGTAGTTTTCTACTTAAATCTTCAGAATATATAATTTAAATTTTATTGTTTACATATTTTTAAATCATGAGTTCTCATCTGTTTTCGGATGCTATATTGTTGATGACTAAACGTAAATATCAATAGTTGAGATCATGAGTCAATTGAAGCTAGACCACGATGGAAAACCTGGAAGCACTGGACGATCGTTTCGTCCTATTGTTGGACTCCTCAGTAGTGCGCATCCACAACCCCGCCTCGCTAGATTCCAACACAGGACTTATCAGTCTCGCGTGTGAGCACTTAACTGCTAGACCACTGAGCCGGCATCCAACCGTGTTAATGTCTAACTTCAACTAATTCACGAAATCGAGCCACACATCCACCATTGTCATCAGTGAGTCACTATCTCACAACAGACCAGGTTGAATCCCACTGGTCACTGCTTCTCACTAGAACTCCAGGATATACGCCTTGAAGCCCCTTCTGACATTAAACGTAAATAGTTGTACATATTGTATAAATAAAACAGGTGTTAGTTGTTTCAATTTTATTATCGAATAAATTTTTGGCACTTATTGTTAGTTTTTACTTGTAATTTTATGGAATTAGATGTTTATTTAGTGGCTCAAGCCATAATTGTTGGTTATCTACACAAGTTTTATCATGAATACAGTATTTATGTCCCGTCAGTTGTCATATTTACTATATTACATTTTCTAACGAGTAGACTCTTATAAGAATATAGTAATAAAATATCACTTTATTCACTATAGTACCAATAAAAATTTTTACCTCGTATGAAATATTAACATAAATTCAAAGATTCTCACAATTTCTTAGTTAATTTACTTTCATCTATTCAACATGCTCAATTTAGTATAACCTTTTGTTATTTTTAAAAAAAAGAAATTTCAAGGATATATGCTTGCGATATTTCACAACGTGCTGTGGACATATTGAATGAGCGTCTCAAGGAACTTCCAGTTAAATGTAATGCATTTGTTTGTGATGTAACCAAACCCTATTCTTTAAAAGCTGCTTTGTCCTCTTTGAATTCAGTTAGTGATCAAGAATTCAACAATACTGAACATGGTGTTGATCTAGTAACATTAATTTTTGTGCTATCTGCACTAAACCCACAAGAAATGCTCACATGTCTTTGTAATGTTGCAAGGTTAGTTTTGAAACTACACTTAAATAAATCACTTATTTATTTATTTATTTATTTGAATACATAAATATTGATACAAAGGGCACTGAATATATATGCCCCACACTAGTCTCTTGAATTGTGTATCGGCTACGATACTGCCCGGGTGTCCAAACCGAAGCAGGTGTTTTTCCTAAGGAACCTTTGACCTGAAGATCTAATCCACAAATCAGTGGAACAACAGGAGGTGCAGTCCCATGGTAGCCGGTGACCAGTAATTGGTTCAGACGCCATTTGTTCCCCCAGGAAACTGGAGCCCATGTGCACCATAGGTTTGGAATCAGGGTTTTCCAACTCCCCTAGGTAAATCCATCATATTCACCGACCTGGTTAAAGCGCAGGACATTCGATTTTGGTCCTCTCAATTTCGCAAACAACACCCCTGCCACTAGAAGGTAGTGAGAAGGACTTCTCCAGCAGTGGCTGTATACGCGTGACCATGTGAGGGCATTTCAAGAGGGAGTACTGATTCTCACTACCCTCAGCCGTACCAGGGCATCTGGGGACAAAATCACTTCTTAATGGGTTTTGCCAAGAAATTTTCTATGGAAGACTGTTTCACATTGTTTAGTGTTTATAATTTTAAGTTTACTTTCATATAAATTGACAGTTTATACTATATTTTTACGCAACAGAACTTTCTTGAATGTTCGTTTTTATACGCGTTCCAGTAATGGGTTAGCATTGTTAATAATTATAATACATTTCCCTAACCAGTTCGTTAAATATCACTTAACCTAGTATCCACGATTATTGAAATGCTTATTTTCCTCATCGATAGTCAATAAAGTCATTCATTCTCTTCATATCAGTTCGGCTTGCGTGATGTTTTTACTCTCTGTTAAAAAATCTGCATTCGTCATTGTTAAAATCGATAGTTACGTTTTAGAACTTAACTCTTACAGTGATTGTACATTTTGTATGATGATGTGACACACAGTTTATTTTAAAATACACAGGTTTCTTGTACTTGTTTTTATCATAACCCGTTAGATTGTAACCATCTGTATGAACGCACACACAAACATGATCAGAGTGCACGAAAGATTTTTAAAATCTTGTACCATGATATCCCATCTGACTGGTCGCAATCACTGATTGTCCCAATATATAATAAGGGGTCAGAATCATCCTGTTATAGCCATAGAGGGATCAGTTTGACTACTATAGCATCTAAAATACTAGTCTCAATAATTGTCGCCAGTAATTAGCGTCTAACAAAGACTCGTGGACTGCAAACACGAGAAAATCAGGCTGGTTTCAGACCTGGTCGTGGCTGCAACGACCACATATTCATCATTCGTCAAGTTTTAGAACACAGGCATGCTTATCGGCATCCGACAATGATAATTTTTCTTGACTTAAAAGCAGCATTTGACTGTAGACCAAAAGGTCTTGTGTCAGTGTCTGTCATTGAAAGGTGTGCCTCAGAAGTAAATAAACCTTATAAAGGCTCTTTATTTGAATACTACCAGTCAAGTCAGAGCTTATGGCGAACTATCATCTGCTTTTGCAACCTCAAGTGGTGTCCGTCAAGGCTGTCCACTTTCTCCGTTTTTGTTCACCTTCATCACAGACCTGCTACTGGAAATAGCTCTCTCACCTGAATTTCCGGGCATTGGTGTCCTACCAGGAGGTCCACTTATCGACTTAGAATACGCAGGTGATATAGTCCTGTTTAGTGAAGACGCTGATAAAATGCAGAGTATTTTGGTAGCACTGAGCAACAATGCCAGAATGTTTGGAATGCATTTCTCCCACTATACATGCAAATTGTTGCTTCAGGAATGGCCTGCTTCAGTCAACACCTGAACTAAGGATAGGAAGTGAAGTAGTCGAACGCGTAGACAACTCCACATACCTTTGGGATCTGATCAGCCCTAATGGGTTGGTGTCTGACGAAATCTGCACGATTCAAAAAGCTTGTTTGGCTTTTGCCAACTTGCGTCACCCATGGCGAAAACGAGACGCAGGGTATTAAGCAATGATGGTAAGTCAGTTGATGAGGTTGTGAATTTTCATCGACTGAGATGGTTGGGCCACGTGCTACGTATGTCTGAACACCAATTACCACGACGCGCAATGCTGACTAGTGTCGGAGAAGGATGGTAGGAAGTTAGGGGCGGCCAAACCAAAACGTGGCGTCAGTGCTTTAAGTCACTAACTTCTAGTCTGAGCCATGTTGTTTGACGCAGACTACTTGGTTGGGGTCTGTGTGACTATCGTTACCAATGGTTGGAGATTATGGGTTACATGGTTCAAAATCGATCACAATGGTGTACGTTTACACACCCTTTGTTTTCCCTTAAACTGTGAGATTAAAATTGGTTTATATCTTCCTGTACTATATCCCTATACATGTTTATTTTATATATTACTACCATTGAAGTAACTACTTCTAAAAATTTGTTCATCTTGTTTTGTTAATGAGTTATGGCAACTTAAACCGATGCATATATGTGCCTAGTCCTATGTTGTAGCTTACTGACTGTATCATGATAATTTCATTGAATTATTTTCATGTCTTTAAATTTTTAATCAGCATCCTTTCACCTGGTGGGCGACTTTTGTTTCGTGATTACGGTCAATATGATCATGCTCAATTGAGATTTGGTAGGGGCTCTCGTTTATTTGCTGATCGACCATCCTATGTTAGACAAGATGGAACACTGTCTTACTTTTTTACAAAAGACGAACTATCTGATTTATTTTTAAATGCTGGTTTGTTTGTGCATCGCCTTCATTTTGTTCACAAAGAAACGAGAAACGCAGCTAAAGACCTGTGTGTGCAGCGTGTTTTTCTACAGGCTGTTTGTGAGAAGTCTGCTTCATAGTGAATTCGTGTGGAGATAATGGTACTTATGTGTATTACTTATTCTATCAGAAATTAATATCATTTTGTATATACATCCTTTTGTAAATAAATAAAAATGATTTCTATTCTGGGATGCTCCTTTTTATTTTACAGCTTTATTTTCAATACCATGTTCAGGTAATGTCGTTCCTTATTAATGAGTATTATAACTGTGCGAATTTCACATCGACCCACATTAGAAGTCTTTTAAGATTTACCTGCTAAATGGCTAAACTGATCCTCTTCAGAAAATTTTATCTTGACTAATCACTGTCATTTAGTTTATATTCCTAAATAGTTACCAAATCTATTAGTTCAGGATGGGTTGTGTGGAGAGTTTTGAAAATTTTACAGGTTGAAATCATGAGTCAATTAAAACTAGACCACCATGGAAAACCTGGAAGCACTGGACGGCTGTTTCGTCCTAGTGCGGGACTCCTCAGCAGTGCGTATCCACGATCCCTCACCCAACGGGATTCGAACCCAGGACCTAATGGCTTCGAGCGTGAGCACTTAACCACTAGACCACTGAGCCGGCACCCAACGGTGTTAATGTCTAACTTCAACCAATCCACGAAGTTGCGACACCGTACACCATTGTCTTCAGTGAGTTGTTCTCACAACAGACCTGGTTGAACTCCACTGGTAACTGGAGTTCTAGTGAGAAGCTTTGACAGAGCATAAAGACCATCGGGTGAGAGGAAAACAGCCCATCCGGTATACAATTCTAGTGGTGTTGTTCACGAGTGAAAATAAAACTATTTAGTTATCCACGAGGGGTAAAATGGGTAATTAAGTAAGTGAGTGGGGATATTTAAACGTACTTGGTAAATGGGTTTTTGTTGCTTGCTCCGTGAAATCCTCTGATGAACTACAACACTTAGAACTATGCAAGTAGAGTTAAAATGAACAGGTAAACAAACCTTGAAGAATCAGCTGAAATCTGTTTATCTAGTTCAGCGTAAATATCAGCATATGATTCTAAAAACAAAAGTAACTGGTTCCGAAATATGTAAACTTACCGGTATTTGAGCTATCTACACGCGTTATTTCATCCAGAAAACGTTCTTGAAAACAGAGAATTTCTTTACTAGTAGAACATTTCGCGTAAGATTGTAATCGTTGGTCATTTAATGTTAAAAATTGATGACCCCAAGAAAACTTATTTAACAGTTCAGTTGCTTGATTGTGTTCACCAAGAATATAAAGACTTGCAGCCAGAGCCTCAACACATGATAATTGAAACGGTTTGCCGTATTTTACTGGATTAGATGCAATCAAAAGTGGAAGTAAACGTCCATGATGAAATTTCAACTAAACGATAGAAAATGTAATGATAATAGTTAGGAGTATATGAAACAAAAGAAAAATAACTACAGAGCAGAATATGAATAATGGAATTTAGTGAATATTAAGAAAACAATTTAATCAAACTTCTATTCACGAGAAACGAATCGATATCGTTTAGAAATATGAGGGATTAATAAAGTTCGTGTGTGGCTATTGTTTAGCGGTTGAAATAATCATCTTCTAATCAGTAAACTGCAGGTATGGACTCTGCTTGATCTAAATCAGCATAGATAGTGGGATAGGAACTACATTTCCTAAAAAAATAGTATGGTTTGAAGCTACACAACCCCATACGTCATGAGTTATAACTAACTTCTTGACACAGCTATTGTTAGCCTTCTTCCAACTTATTCCCATACCAGTCAGCATTTAACGGATACATGGGGGTTCGAGTTAACATAGGCTCATGACCCTATTTAGATGGTTTTCTACGTTTAATATCACTCACTCAGTGATTCCAAAACATGCGAACTTTTTGTGGGCTTTTACTTTCAAGTGCTCGCAAATTACAATTTGTACTTTCAACAATCCTATTCCACATCTATAGCCTCTTAGTGGACAAATCTTGCCTGTACTACCTACTTCGGTTTGGGCACCCGGGAAGTATCGTAGCCCTAACAAAAATCGAGTGACTTATGTGGTGCCTCCTTGTACCATTTGTGTTTAAATAAATAAATAGTACTACAAGTGGCACTACTTGTCATATGTCCGATTAGCTTTTTATACCCATGCAAAGATTTTTTCGAGTTATCAACTAATCGTGGCCAATGAGAATCACAAGGTGAGTGGAATGGATTATGCTCTAGGTAGTCACCCGGTTAGCTGTAGATAAAACGTATATAATCAGATGTCCCTCTTGTTTGGCGTGTTCATAGAATATATTTTGACATTTTTAGTCAATATTTACCAACTAGTGTCTCGAAACTTTTACACACCAGAAGTTACAGATTTCACTAATTCATATACCAAGTACATGTTTATGTACTTCCCGATTGTCGAAACCCATGCGGATAAGGCGAGCTTTGAGTCAATCATCCGTTATTAACGTACAACCTAGTGTATATCAGTCCAATTTCCCATACTCCACATCAGCACTGCGAAAAAGCCAACAGTATAGGGTACGAATAATTAACGGAACCAAAAGAAGTTTGAGTATCAGAAACAAAGTTCATAAGGAAAAAATGGATGGGTCCTAAACCTGTTTCATGTTGGTTGAATGCCGTATTTTAACCAAGAAGCAATAAGACCAAGTTTGACCAGAGTATGAAAACACTAACAAAACAAACCGGAGAACGGAATTGAAGTTTTTTAGATTTGCTATGCTAAAACGATGAAATTCACTAATCCCTACTGCATAAACGTTCTGAACAGAAATAAAACGTTTGACAGACTATCAATAGGACAATGGTCTCGATTCAAGTTATTTATCTCGACTTGAGTAATTCATTTCGAAAGGTAGTAAAAAAAGGCATACATGTATGATTCACATAACCTTACCTTTTTGAATCCAGTCTGCTCCAATTGAGCCCAAGAGCAATCCACTACAGCAATCCCACCACTATACATCAACTGGCGATCAGTGTCAGGAGATAAGACACAAGTCGCAGTAGGTGTAAGAACAATGCCTCCAAAGCTTTCGTTCAGCCGTAACAACTTTGTGATTCCCAAACGAACTAATTTGCGGCCTGAGCAGCGCTTCGGATCGCACTGTTCAAAGTCCCACATAGCCGTTAGAATTTCTCTGTGTGCTTCTATTCCATAAAATAAATATGGACAAACCTACCGTTACTTAAATTAGTTCCACAAACTTGTGTCTCAGCCATACCTCTCTCATACTTTGAGCTTGATGGATGTTTTCTTTTAGTTTTCATGTCTGAGAACTGAAAATACACATTAAAATCATACTGATGATAGACTTGGGTATTTTTAAATCAGCAAAGACGAACAAAATAACCTAATGACATTGGATTTTAGGATTACTAGATATATAACGGCACAAAACTAACCGTGCATCCGATTTATATCACAGAGGTTTGGTGTTATTTACAACACTAACATATTTCGATAATGCAATGAGAAGACGTAGTTTATCAGAATTATGTGATATATTTGCGCAATACATATTTGGCTGGAGGGCACTTTGTGTTGCTGGACAAGATTTGACTAAAAAAGGAAGTTAAATGTGTACTAAATATTTGTAAACCGTTTCTCAGAAACCTTAGCGTTATAAATCGTACCACATCTATAAGTGTGGATTTAGATGTGGCAAAGATACAACCCTAATGCCCATCCGTCAAATTAACTAGTTTTAAATATACAGACGAGTTTTCCTCCACAGAGAAATTTTCGAACGTTACAGCCAACTGCCAACAAGTTTTGAGGTCAACAAATTAGTAGTTAATGTTCGATGTGTGGTTTTTGTTTACTTAGGAACTGAAATAAATCAAATAATTATGCAAATACCGTACGCCTATCAGTGGAGTTATCTAAAAGTTAATGAAATCCTGTTTTTTATAAAAATAATCACAGAAGGAAACGAGACAATGACATTGAGTAGCAGAGATATTCAAAATCACTAATATCGATGGAAAGGTCTACATAACCTAGAAGCTTCGTGCAACTTAGGGATCAGTTTGTCAGTTCACTGACATTGAAAGACCAGAAACAATCATTTTTGGCCTATCAATGTCATAGATCACTAGATTATATAAAAAAATTGTGAAGTTCCCAAGAAATCAGTGAATTACGTGACGACACACTCCATACAGTTAATTTGAGAGGCGAAATTCACACCTGTGTGTACAATAGCAAAACTAGGTATGAAATCCTCGGTATGTCGTTGATAATTCGCAGTAAGTCAGATTTGCATCGTATTTTAATGACTTTTTTTTATCATATCGATGATGACAACAAGAAATCAAAAACAACCCAATTGGCTAGCAAGCAACCAATAAAGGGGAACAAGGGGAAATAAAAGCGACGAAAGCGTAAATGAAGGAGAAATGTCGATTTTTGCCTTTAAATCTGTTATTGAGGGGAAATGTGGACTTTTCCTCCTTACGTCGTGTATTTGGGAGAAATTTGTAGACGATTATAAGTAACGTACACCGTTTGAATATGCCCCTTCCTTCAAATGTTTCAAACGGTTGTGGACGGTATGGAAGAAGCCTCCGCTAAACGGGCTTCCGTGTCTAGTAGCAGTGGATCATCATTACCTCCAGGCAGGAACTTAGGTATATTAATGATAACAGAGGAAATCGGTAAATCATGGTAAGATATTATCCTTAGTCCTTAAGAATAGGTTGCAAGGCCAGCGAAATGTCTACAAGGTCAAGTTACCTCATAACGGACTCCCGGGAAGTCGCTTGTACTAGCTCAGCCAGCAGCAAATTCCAGCATTTGATAACTCTAAAGGAGTAGAAGTTGGGTCTATGGTTCGTTCTGCTGTGTTGTGTCTCCAGTTTATGGGTGTTACCCCTTAGGTTTGTGTTGGAGCAAAATATAAGTAGGTGTTTAAGGGGATGTTCAGAAGCGTTAAAGATACTGTAAGCCATCAGTAGGTCGCCTCTAAGACACCTGTACTTTAGTGAGTAGAGGTTTAGCGATTGAAGACGCCCTTCATAAGGCTAGTATTTGATTTCCCAAATTGATTTCGTGGCTCGCCGTTGGGTACGCTCCAGTTTGTCCCTATCCTTTTGGAGTGAGAGAGGAAATACTATGTTTCCATCTTCTAAATGGGGACGAATAAAATTGTTGAAGATTATGCGGAAACTTTTACCGTCAAACTGGCCAAAAATGCACGTCAATGTTACTAGTGCTACGTTTGCTCGAAAGGCATCTTTGTCACAGTTAGAGTAAGACTTCAAGTCGTAGGGTACCAACACTCCTTGATCTCCTTCAACTTGTGATGCCTACAGAGGGGGGTTGCCTAAGTTGTAACTGTAGTCTGCAACATGCCTCAGACGGATTACTTTACACTTTGAAGTGTTAAACGTAAATCCATTGTCATCTGCCCGACTTTGAAGTCGAGTCAGATCCTCCTAAGGTGACAGTAAATCCCCTTGGTTGCGTATCTCTCCCCAGACTTTCAAATCATCTGCAAAAATTAATAGGCCAGATGATATCTGTTGTGGAAGATCGTTTATATAAATCAAGAAAAAGAGAGGTCCTATTACTGAACCCTAGTGGACTCCACTAGGATATTCCATAGCCTGAGAGAGTGAAATTAACAATGACCTTAAAATGTCAATGTTTTAGTGTGGTGTTTGAATGAACTAATCATACCTTTGTACTTGTTGAATGCTTGATTTCCAATTCTAAATACTGTACATTCGTTTGTGCCTATCTAGTACTTCTTAATCCGATTACGTTATTTTTGGGATTCTTAGTTCGCACTATAATTCAAATACTCCTGATCATCATATTGGCGTCGCGATGGAGCCTGCGATGGAAAAGTTAGATATTCATTCAATTTCTGAAGCTTTTGAAGATTACTTTGAAAGGTTCGAAATCTGGGCTGTGACCAAGGAAGATGATGAGGATGTTAATATTGTAGTACATTTTCTCACATTCATCGGAAAAGAAGCATATAGCTTATTAAGAACTCTGGCTATGCCGGAAAAGCCAATTTCGCTTTCTTATACAACTTTCAAGGATCTACTGCTACACTATGTTAAGTATACAAATTTTGAATGTGGTAAAGGAGGGAGATCTAGTAAAATGATTCATGAGGATTTAAAAAATTCCACTACATTACCACGTCATTCCGACCCAGTGCATACTCAAGGTTATGCAGATAGTTCATTGAGGAGTTGCAATGCATTTCACGAAAATGGGCACAAGTTTAGTCAGTGTTTGTCCTGTGGCAAGTTCCACTTTTTTAATTCATGTACATCTCGTAATTCTAAGTGCTTTAAATGTGGTGATATTGGATATATTCAGTCAGTCTGTAATACTAATGTTCATCTTATTGCAACTAATATTAAGTCTTGTAATTCTGATTCTACTGATTCGAGTATTCATAATGATCATTTATCTTTATCAACGATTTCAAAAGAGAGTGTAGGGCCATATAACAGTTAAGAGTTAAATGAAACTCAGAATTCTTGTGAGACAACAGTTCCTAATCAATCGACTTATCAGATTTCTCATGTTATTGTACCAGGTATGACTTTTCCTAATGATTCACATATTTCTGATGAAATTCCTTGCAAATCTGAAAAAAATATGTTGAGTGAAGATAATTATGGTCGAAAGTCTGATGTAGTTTTGATAGATGCTAATTTTTCTAAAGATCCTTAACCCTGCAATGACATTCTTAATAAATTTGAAGAAACTGGTAATAATAATAATAATGATATATTTCTGCATGTGCAGGTACACACCGTTTTTACAGGCATGATCTATAAATTACAACACTTGTTGGTTCGCAAAATGCTTCCCAACTTATTAAGTTTATAGTTGTTATAAAGTGAAATCGTAGAGCGCTTGCTGTAAACTGTGACCTTGAGAGGACGCGTACGTCAAGTTTGCCTCTGTTGACTATAGTATAAAGTATAGTTTGCCAATCGGAGTATAAGCATTCAGAAGGGTATAATGTAGGATAGTTGTTTATTAAGGCAGGCGGAAAAGTATATGAGTTGTAGATAAGGTAACGAGTGGAGAAATAATATTAATTGCTAGTCAACATATTGTACAGAAGAGTAAAAAGCTGATACAGGATTAACAGTAAGAAACTCACATTAACTTGGTGCTGATGTTATTTTGTGTTGCCCTAACCAGTTGATTGGTAATAGGCTCCATAGATGCAAGACCACTGGTGGTAGGCAGTCGATTGTGCGATCCTCTTGACTTTTTGGGGTGGTAGTGAGTGTCCCTTAGCGACCGAGCTTAGATGAACTGTATCGATAGGTCCAGTGATCTACCCGTCTACTTCAAGTGAAGGAATAGGGTGGAAAAAGTAATTAATACAAATGCAAAGTAGGGAAAATAAGGCAAACTGAACTTGAAGTCCATTTTGGTCTAGACATGGAGAGAGCCTATGATGTCTGAGTGGGGTGCAGATGTGTTCGTATGTGCAAGATCAGTGCGAGTGAGGGCTTGATCAAGCAGTTTGACAAACGTATGTAGTTCTTCTGCTATGCGTATTTCGGAGGGAAGACTGTTCCATATTATTGCATACTTGGTGAGGAAGAAGTTTTCCCGAGTTTTTGATCTGTATTTCTCAACTTTGACTGTAGATACTTTGTTTCGAAGTCCGTATTCATGTGAATCTCGGGCAAGAATTATCTGACATGTTGAATAAGTAAGGTTTTTGAGTAGTTTGAAGTAGAGAATCAAGTTAGACCTAAGCCTTCCCTCCCAAAGGGGTGCTATTCCTAAGATTTGGCATCGGGAACTGTAGTCAATGACCGAGTCAGTCTTAAGTACTTTGCGGGTGAAGTCTCGTTGTATTCCTTTCACCTTTAGTATATCAGATAGGCGTAGTTTGGAAAATAAGAACGAGCAGTATTCAACGATAGGTCTTACACAAACTTTGTAAAGAAGGATTTTAGATTCATTTTGATAGAAATTACGGAGAATGAAGATAAGCGATTTCCGCATTTAAGATGCTTTGGCTGAGATGTGTTCAGAGAAATTAAGACTGTGTGAGCAGTGTACCCCTAGGTCAGTTACTGATGCCAGTCTGGGCAGTGTGTGATTGCTAAGTGTTAGTTTCATTTTAAGAGACGTGTTTCCTATACGTAACCAGCCGCATTTCTCTATGTTGAGCTCTAACCTCCAGCGTTTGCACCAGTCATCTACCATGTTGAGTTCATGTTGGATTGTTTGCATAGTACTACGTCCATCGCAAATGTTAGTTTTATAGATGGCTTTTAAGTCATCGGCATAGAGGTAGGTCTTACCTGTGCTAAAGCACTTGCATATATTGTTGGTGTAGAATATAAAGAACAATGGACCCAAGATACTACCCTACACAACACCACTAGTTATTGGTCGAGGTGTAGATGTTGTAGAGTTAATCTTTGTTATTTGATATCTGTTCGTAAGAAAAGACTTGATCCATTGCAAAAGGGGGTTTATAATTCCAACTGACTGAAGTCGGTTGATTAGAAGATTATGAGGTACCATATCAAAGGCTTTCTTAACAAACAAAACGGAACTTTAGTTGGAATCCCTCCTCTCTATTGTTGTTTTTCTGTTCTTTTAGTTAGCCTACGAATACAGATGCAATTGGAGATCAACATATACAGACAGTATGCCTGTTAACAAAACAGCCTCCAAACTCTTGTGACGCGAAGATGGAAGACACTTATAGAGTCACATATATTTCATTGCGCATTGATCTTACTTTGAACGCTATGTAATTGGTTGTGACTACAGAGTCCTCTTTAACTAAGTTCAATAGACTTGACATCCATTTACGCACCTATCGTTTATTAACATTTACCCAACATACTCACTGACCATATGCGATGACAAGGCAACATGGCTTCGCACTTACCAGCTATGTCGTTAAGATCCAGCAGTAAAAATTTTACTTGTAACTCCCGCCTTAACTACCAGTTCAGTGATATTCCCAGCTAGTTGTTTCTTCAGTTTTTCATCCAGCAAATAAATACGTATATCTTTTTGCTGAGTTCTCTGCCTTTCCTATACTCCATTACACCATAATCCTAAAATCTTCCGGAACTACAAGTGAACGGTAGATCAATCCCAAACACACAACTACACTTTAACGTAAGTCAAACAACTAAAATTCAAATAATATTCAAACCAACTTGAACTGTTGTCGTCAGCTGCGTACAACCAAATATGTAATAGAATTTTACATTGAGATAAGAAATAGTGTTGTAGCGGTAAATAAAGCCCCAAAATAAATAGCTCTGTAAATTTTTGACATTGGATGCTGACCATATGTTTTAATGAACTCATCTAGCTGAAGGCGCTCGGTCATGCATCCGCACCACATCACGTGTGGTAACACTGTGCTCAACATCTACCGCAATCGCTAGCCAGATTAGATCAGAGAATTCCGATATATTGGTTTTCGCCAAATACACTCTCCCTATCTCCTCGACTCTGTCTTTTGATTTCTCTTGGTGGGTACAAATTATATTAGAAGGT